GTTGCAGCCTACACTTCCAATGTTGCTCCACTTCAGACCTCTCAGATCCTGTCAGAAGTTCCTAACACGGTCACTCAGTTCTAGCTCTATCATTGACAAAGGAGTCTTTTGGCCTAGTGAAAAAAGGGCCTTTCTGAGGTCAAGCAGTCAGCTAACAGCAACAGAGCCCATGCTTTCCTCACCGTGCCAAGGAAACCTGACATTCTTTTGGATCTACATATCCACAGGGGACCCCCTAGGGACTGCAGTCTAGAAACGTGGGCAGGGTCGATAGATGGTTTTCCGTGTTGAGATCACTAAGTTGCCAGGAACGTATCCAGCTCTGAAACAACACAGTACTTTCAGCACCATGGTCAGGGGCGCGCGGCCGCTTTCAGGAAATCTGTGCCCAACCGGGTTAGCCACGCAGGTACCCCCAGCTTCCGCCTTGGCCCTCAGATCCCAGAAGCAGAGGGGGCAGAGAAGAGCAGCCTAGGGCCTCGAAAGAGAACGCGGGTGGGGCGGGGGGGTGCGGTTGGCCAAAGGCAAGGGCGCAAGGGAGACTTTGGCCTTACAAGACCCAGAAGACCCAGCTACAGCCAAAGCAGGAACAAACTATCTCAGCACAGAGCTCTAAATTGCGCAGAACCTAGAGCCAGGTCACAGTCCTAGCTTATTTCAGTAATTCATTGAGTGATTGACGGTCTGAGGAAATCACCAACTTCTAAGACTTTAGGTCTCTGTTTCTATGGGTGTGAACATCCTGCCTCGCCCTCCTCACCAACTGTAGGAAGGGACCTAAGGTAAGAAGTGTGTGCAGCCTCAAATCTCCCACTGTCTGTGCTCTTGGCCCTTTGAAGGCAGAGCAAGCAGGTACAGTAAGTGCCCCCTTCCTTTTCTTTTTTTTTTTTTAAAGATTTTATTTATTTATTTGAGAGAGAATGAGAGATAGAGAGCACGAGAGGGAAGAGGGTCAGAGGGAGAAGCAGACTTCCTGCTGAGCAGGGAGCCCGATGTGGGACTCGATTCCGGGACTCCAGGATCATGACCTGAGCTGAAGGCAGTCGCTTAACCAACTTAGCCACCCAGGCGCCCGCCCCCTTCCTTTTCTTGAGCACAGCCTGAAGGTATTTAAAAAGGAGGGGGAGGAGGGAAATAAAATCAGTAGAGAATATTAATTATGTAAATATAAAAATGTAATTATAATATGCTCAGCACTTATTCTGTACCACATTTTCAGCCGAAATCTCTTACACCCTCCCCACGGTGTCCCCCCTGCCAAGGCCTAAGGGTGTTCTCCACCCTTCTGGTTGTGGGCGGGCTGTAACTCGTCCTTCATAAGCACTGCCTTCTCTTAGTCACCCAGAAATCCAGTGAAAGGGTTTTAAGGACTCAGGGGCACCTGGGTGGCTCAGTTGGTTAAGCGGCTGCCTTTGGCTCAGGTCACGATCCTGGAGTCCCAGGATCGAGTCCCGCATCAGGCTCCCTGCTCAGCAGGGAGTCTGCTTCTCCCTCTGACCCTCCCCCATCTCATGCTATCTCTCTCAAATAAATAAATAAAATCATTTTTTTTTTTTAAAAAAAGGACTCCCTTCATATTCTCCAGCGAATTAACGGACACTCAGGGACTTGTCCAAGGTCACACAGCCAGGCAGAGTGGCCCTTAGGGGAGAGGAGGGGCAAAGGGCACCTGTGAGGTCGCGTGCGCCCCCAGCCCCGCCTGCCTTTGTGCCAGCCTTGCAGCCGGGCTCCCAGACATTAGCATTCCAATGGCCCCGGGACGCTTTGTCTCCCGACCAAGGCCGGCTTGGGGGTGGAGTGGGATGGGGGCAGGGCACCATAAATCTACCTGCTTGTGCGCACGGATGGGGGTGGGGTGGTGGTGCAAGATTCATGTGCTGTTTTTCTGGAAGTCAGGCTTGGTCTCAGACAAAGGCAGAAGAGGGGCAAGAGCCTTTTGACCTGAGGGTCTTTCCTGGCCCCGCTGGGGACCCTGTCTGGATTTCAGAGAGCTGGGGCGCAGGCGACGACTTCAGACTATGGGAGGCTCCGCACCATTACAGCGGAGGCGTCGTCTGCAAGCGCGGGCTGCCAGCTGAGACTGAGACCAGCTTGACTGATTTTAAAAGCCTCTGAAAGCAAAATGCCCGTGGGGGTTGGGGGGCATGGTGATGGTGAGGCTGGGCTAGTTAGTTGTCCACACCACTCGCAGAAATGTTTCTGAGCTTCTTGATGAGTGGCTCTTTGGAAAGAGGCGTGGACAAAGTTTCCCATCTCAGTGCAATTCCATATACAGTGATGGAGCTCACCCTGTGCAAGGGAGCCCTAAACTTTGCAGTGATTCTAACAAACCCAAACCTTTCTCTGCTTCCTCTTGACTTGGAGAGTAGAGTCAGCAGACAGTTCCAGGGTCAAATCCACCCCTGACCCAAGGTGGCAGCCCAGCAGTCAAGTTGGTTAAACCATCCTTTTTTTTTCTTTTTAATTTGTGGGGTGGAGGACCAGTCTGCGTGTGTTTGGTGACTAATGGCTCCTTAATAAGCACCCTCAAAAGTAGGAGGGGGATGGGGCAGTGGATGCATCCACCTGGAACATGGAGCCAACACTCTTGCAGTTTCAGGGAGTCGTTTGCACAGAGGGAGTCCCCTGTCTATCTGAACACTTAGTTTCCACGGCCTCTCACAGAAAGGATTTTCCTGCTTAAGGACTTCTCTAAACCTGTAGTCCTTGGCCCAAATGCCCCCTTCTCTTGCAAGCCTCCCAGTCCAGCCCCAGGTAACAGCAGCCCCACCTCCGTCCTGTGCTTTGTACCTCTACCCAGCACCAATAATTTTGGCCTCGAATACTTTTGTCTGTATACTTGTTGCTTTCCTGGGAAGACAGAGATGGACCTTCTTGTTTTTTGTCTCTCCACACTCTTCCCCTAAAGGCGCAGAGAGTAACAGGCACTGGCTTGGTCCGTGCAACCAGGAGCTGCTGACACCTGCCCCTGGGTGGTGCCTCAGGCGGGAAATTGGCTGCTGCAGAAGTCACCAATAACCCATTAATCTCCTCCCAGATTAAAGCCATGAAATGAAACAACACCTTCGTTCATTCTTTTGTTTGCCCGTCCCTCTCCCCTCCCCCAAATCCAGCCCCGGGTAAATGAGGCATATTTCCTCAGAGCTACCTTAATGGGAATAGAGGAGAAGAAAAGTTCAATTGGAAGCTGGGAGGGCAAAAGGGAGACGCAAGAGGTGTTAGCCCCGGGTAAAACGCCACCTTTTCGTTCTAACTGGGAAGTTAACTACGGTCTGGCTCCTGGACCCTGACAGCGCCTCGCCCCACTGGGGTTGGCTGCTCCTTCCTGTGGCCAATCCAAGGAGGCCTCTGGGGTTCAATTCACAGGGTAGAGTGCCCACCCTCCATTTTCCTGTTCCCGAGCGCCTGGCGGACTCTGCGAATTCTTAAAGCTCAACCTGCTTCCAGAGGTATGGGGCTCCCGCAAGCCATGTAGGGATGCTCCAATAGCGCCCCTGGGACAGGTTTCAGTCCCTGCTGCGCACTACCGCAACTCTACCTTGGGAGTAAAGAGTGGCTGGAAACTTTGAACAGGTTCTTGGTAAGTTTTCAATCAAGACTGCCGGGTGTCCGGGGTGCCAGAGATTTCAGCAGGAATTTCCACTTTCTCTGCTCCCTGCTGCTCAGTTCCACACATCAGGATGCCACTGCCCCAGAATCTGCTGTGTAAAATACGCTCAGAAGACGTGCTAGCGCTTTAAGCACTCTGGGAAAATTCCTGGAATGCCCAGTCCACGTTCCGTGCTTCTGAGGGCTCTGACCCTGTGGTCAGGCTATTACTCTTCCTCCCCAAATTCAACAGTCGCTCGAAATCCAGGCTAGTGGCGTAGGGGAAAGGGTCAGCAGCGCCAGCAAGTAGCCTTAGTTGGAGGCTTGTCATTCATCTAAACCACAGTTTGGAATATGACAAGTCACTGCCCTATAAATAAAACAGGGACCTGGACCAGTGATTTCTCAAGAGCCCTCCAGCTCTTACGTTCCATGCGGGTTTAGCTGACTTGCCCTCAGGACGCAATCTGCTGGGCCTCCAGCCTAGCACCACAGTCTCTTAACCCAAATCAGAGAAGGGGCCCAGACCCCCAGAACGTTTTATCCCTCTCCTTGGACTGAGGTCCACCCCCACCCCAGCCAGAGGCTGTGGCCTCACTTCTGCATAATCGAGTTACCTGACTGAGGTTTCTTGAGGGTACTTTTTTTTTTATTATTTTTGGCTCAAAATCTCATCCACCAGTCTCTAAATAATCTTATGTACAAAATATAGACTTTTCCCCCTGCTGTGAAATCTCATCAATAAATACAAACGTGTAAAGGAGGGGGGCATATAATTTACCGTACCAAAATTCACTTCAAAAGATATCATATAATTTACAGGCTGATTTTTTTCTTTTTTCTTCTTCTTTTTTTTTTTTTTTTCTCTTTTAAAGACAGGGGCGCTTCAGGTCGCAGGGAAGCGGGACAGACGTTCCCGAGGCGGACAATCTCTTTCCCAGTTCAGAGCCTGGTCTCCCTCCCCCCGGAGGGCAATGGCTCCGAAAAGTGCACGAAAGAAGGCAGAGGATCGCCTTCGCGGATTAAGGCAGCGGGGCGGCCAGAAACCAGGACTTGATAGCGACTGGAGGAGAAGGTCAGCGGCGTCTTTGGAGAGGAGAGCAAACGGTGAGAGATCAAATACTGGATTAAATCACATTGGTGGAGGAGGAAAGAGAGACTGACAGACTTGAGTGAGGGTAGGGTGGCTGGAGACAGTGGGTGTCTCCGGCTGCCTAGTGCTACCATCCTCATCGTCTTTGCAGGAGACTTGGGGCGGCTGCAGGGAGGGGAGCGCGGAGCCTGCTTTACCCGCCTGCGCGGGCAGCAAACAGAGGGCTGAAGTTGGCGCGGCGCCGAGGACCGGGGGATCGAATCCAGCCTGTCACCCTCGTAGGAGCCTGGGCTCACCGGGTGTCAGCGAGCCAGAGACTGGAGGAGCAAGTTCAGGGACGCCGCAGTCGCGGTGCGTTCCTGACAGCCTCCACCCGCCCCCCTCCAAGCACCCACCGCCCAGCGGCCGACGGCTCCTTCATAGGAAGTCTGAAAAAGCCAGGGCGCCGGTGCGCAGACCCGCAGGGGAGGCAGGCGCCTGCAGCCCGTGACGCTCCTCCAGCGAGGCGGCGGGGCTCAGGCTGCCCGCCTGGGAGACAGGGGAGTAGAGGGAGCCCCAGTCTCCCGGGGAGCCGCGGTCCTGGCAGCCCAGCTCCTCGCAGGGCGGTGCGGGCGGCTCCAGCCCGTAGAGGCTATGGTCTGCTATGCGCAGCGCCTGCGTCAGCGCCCAGATGTAGTTGTGCGCGAAGCGTAGCGTCTCGATCTTGGTAAGCTTGGCATCGTCCGGAAAGGTGGGCAGGACGCCGCGAAGCGCGTCCAACGCCGAGTTGAGGTTGTGCATTCGATTGCGCTCGCGGTCATTGGCCTTCTTGCGCCGGCTCCTTCGCTGCTTGCTCAGAGCCAACTCACTCTTGGGCCGGCTGCGCCCCCCGCGCCTCGTCCGGAGCTTCCTCGAGGCCCCTCGGCAGCCGCCCCCTTCTTCCTCCGTGCAGTTCCCCCGCACGCGAGCGGGGCTGGGCGGAGCCGACGCAACGCAGGTCACTTCGTCGTCCGAGGCCCCCTGGAAGGGCTGCTCTGTCTCCTGGGTCACTTGGACAGCTGGCGTACCCGAGGGATGAGGCGCCATCCTGCGGCGGGGTAAGAGGTCGGGGTAAGCGTGGGTCCGCCACCCGGGCGCAGTTCCCTATCCCAGGGCCAAGTGGGAAATAACCGAGAAAGAGCCACCCCCCGCTCCTGCCGGATCAGAGGACCCCTTTCCCCCTCCACCCGTCGCTCTGTGGCCTCCAGGTGTTACCTTGTTCTCGCGCGCAAAAGGGTAGAGAGCAGGGGGCCAGCGAGAGCAGTTGGTGAGATGAGCTGGCCTTTTCGTCTGCAAGCCCAGCTGAGACGCAGGCGCCGCTGCCTAGAAGTTTCCCCAGCTCCAGAGAAGCGAAGCGCAAAGGGGGTCCCGGGCCACCGTTGCTGTTTTGGGCGCGGCTGCGAGACCATTCGGATTTTCTGAGCCGCAAGTCGTGTGCCCCTTGGCACGCTTTATCTGCTCGGCCCGGGCCAGGAGCGTGCCTGCCCGGTTGCAGCCGGAGCCACCGGCCAATCAGCGCCGGGGCCAGGGGGCCGCGCCACGCGAGCCCGCTCCTCCCCCGCGGGGCACAGCTGGATTCCGGACAAAGGGCCGGGGTCGGGGGAGGGGAGCGCCGCTCTGTTTGCTTTCTCTCCGCGGGCTCTGTCCCAGCAACTCTCGGTTCCTCAAAGAGCCTCGCCCAGTGAGAAGAGCCTCGTCTGGCTCCCGTCTGGCCGCCCCAGACCGCTTTGCTCCTGTCTTTCCTTGGCATCTGTCCAGACCCTCTTTTGGTGCCCCAAAGAGGGCTTTGGGAAGCCTATAGGGTTCGCCAATCTTCATGCGTTACACACGGGGACATTAAGGCTCAGAGAATGTGGCAGCTCGCCCCGAATCACTCCGCCAGAGATATAGGACAAGGAGCAAGGTGCTCCGACTACCAGCTTGGAGGAGCGTCACTAATTCCCGATGCCGCCCTGCTCTCTTGCTCTACGTGTCAGGCGAGGAAACGCACACAGGGTGATGTTTCCCTGACCCTCTCCATTCTGGGGGGAGGGCGGACAGGGCGACCACAGAGAGAGATTCTGCCTATGCCCCTGCCACTTAGAGACCTTCCCTGGGGGTTAGGAGCCCCCTCCTCCCCACCACCGTGTCCCGAGGTGAGGCCGCTCACTCCTCAGAGGGAGGCGCTTAGAACCTCTCCTCCCAATCTCCTTTCAAGAACCGAAGACATTTCCATCGTGTCCCAGAGGCGGAGGGTGGCCACGATGGGACCTCCAGGGGACATTCCACGACTAGCAATCGTGGACAGCCCCCTTGCATTCGGGCCAGGGCCTACGGGGAAAGGGCGCAGGTGAGAAGGGGTCAGGAGAGGGCCAGGAGCTCGAGGCCAGGCCTTGTCTTTTAAATGCCCGTGGTGTGCTGGCGCTGCGAGGAGCGGATCACTTCTTTCTCCCCTCCGTCCTCCTGCCCAATCCCAGGAGAGCGGGGGCCGCCCGCACTACCTGGGCCAGCCAGCGCCGCCGCGCGAGGCCGGGGTCCGGCCGAGAGCAGCGGGCAGGGACTCCGAAGGCCCCTGTTGGCGCCGTCTGGAGATTTTCCAAAGTGAGACTGAACACACCGTCCCTCCTTTCTTCCCCGCCCTTCCCTTTTGTCCCCGCCTCGGACGCCCCGTGGTCTTCTGCTTCCGGTCACTCAGGGTGAGGGGTCGCGGCTTCCGCTGCTCTCTCTTGACCGCGACGTGCCCGGTGGGGAGAGAGGGGGGAAGCCGAGGGTGGGAAGGCTGGGGCCCGCGTTACGTCTCTGCAGGCTGCGAAGGCTTTACTTTCTGGCAGATCCAGATAACCCAGTGCCTCCCGGAAGCTGGCGGAGGGGGGCTGGACCCCGCTGGGAAACTGAGGGGATGGGGTGAAGGGACGAGGTAAGTCTGCGGATCTGCCCCGGGGATTGCCTCTCCACACCCGCCGCGGCTGCTTAGAGGGCGCGGTTACCTCCTAGGCAGGGAGAAGATGCATATGCTTGGGAGCCAGGGAGAGAGAGCTCTAGGACTGAATGGGGATGGGGGCGCTGTCCTCCAGATCTCAGCCGGTGTGCTGTTAAGCAGATGCTCCTTCCCTTTCTGCCTTCCAGCTGAAGCTAGGGGTCAGGCTCAGGGGCAGCAAAGGGAATGAGACTCTTGGATTCCACATTTTGCTACTGCTCCTCCTTTGGGTCACGAATTGCTCCAAATGTGTTTTCTAGTCGTAAGAAGGAGAACCCGAGGCCCCTTTTGCAGATGGAAAAGTCAAGGCCCAGAAGGGGAAGGGACTCACCCAAGGTCACAGCAAGTTCTGTTGGAACCACATAGAACTCCGGTCCTAAGACTCCTAGTTCTAGATTCTCCCTTGTACCTGCTGTCTCTTTCTGATTGGAGGAATATGTATGTATTTTTTCAAGGCAAAACCAGACACCCTAAAGTGTAGAAAATAGAAGTCCTGTATCTTTGAGGAAGACCGGGTCAGAGTAGACAAGAGGCAGTGGCCCCATCACCCAGTGCCAAGGGGAAACCAGTGTCCACCCATGTTCCATCTCTCCACTTCCCTGCTCCATACACCCGCCTTGCTTGATTTCTGTCATCCTGCACGTTATGAACTGACAGGCAATCCAAACCCTGCTTCCCTAGGGTTTCCAGACTCAGCCCCTCTCCAGGGAGCGAGCCCTGGCCATAAGGGATCAAAACGCCCCCATGGGTCCCAGGAATCCTGGAGAGCAGCTCAAAACAGGGACTCTCATCCAGCAGTGGCCCTCAGATAAAAGGCATAAAAGGCAAAGGTGGACTCGCTTGGCTCAGTTTTGCCTCAAGCGGCTAATGGGTACCAGCAAGAGCTGCAGGGTGAGCTTCCTGCACCAGGGGAAGACTCTGAGCGTTCTTGGGAACCTTCTTAACTGGGAGAGAATTCTGGGAGGCACTTGGAATTCTTATCCAGCTTCCCCAGAGCAGCTCCGGCCCAGGGCTCTCCCGGGCTTTGCAGGCAGCCACCACTACTGCTTTGCGCAAAAAATAGGGCGAGGAGCGCGCAGCGGCCGGGAGCCGCGGTCTCCTTGAGCAACGCCAACAGCTCTCGGCAGCCCTTTTTCTGGCCAGGAGGGCAGGGCCGGAGGTCACGGAGTCCTGGGGGATTAGAGATCTGGGATCCACGTACCCCCTCTCCGCTGTTGGGGACGCACAGACCTCTCTCCAAAGTCAATACCTGTGCTTTTGGCGGCGGAGGCGCAAGCAGTGACAACTCAGGGCGCGCCGGCGGTATTTGTGAAACGGCTCCTCCAGCGGGGAGCAGAGCCGGTTCCTGAAGCCCCCGGCCGGCCGCCGCTTCGGAGGCCTCCCGGACGCGCGCGCCTCGGCTCTCTGAGACCTAGGTAAGCCCGGAGGCCGGCGCGGCCCAGGAGACAGGCCACAGCCGGGCGCCTGGGGACCGCGGGCTGATTGGAAACGAAGGAAGGCCGCGGTCCGCCCTGCCGCCTTCCTGTCGGCGGGGGAAATCCTCGCAATGCCTGGGGGCTCTTTGAGAAGCAAGCGGGAGGGGGGGGGGCCATGGGAAGCTGAATAGCTAATGGCTTGCCAGAGGAGGGGGCTTCTTTCTCTCGCCTTCGCCTCGGCACTGAAAGAGGGGAAGACAAAAATCTGGCGAGCGAGCTGCCTGGGCCGAGACTGGCCACTTCAAACAGCCCTTCAAACAAAAGGAGACGATGAAAAGAAAGCCCCACCTGTCTCCAGTGTTTGCTAAAATAATAATAAATAGATTTCGTTTAATAAATAATTACAAGAGATTGTAAAGTAGAGTGCTTTGGAAAACATCTACCACGGGAGTCCCGCAGCCAGCCGTCACCTGCTCCCAAGGCGGACAACTTTATTGTTAAGCCACCCCCCAACTAGTTTGCCTCTGATAAACTCTCCCTCGTTTTCACAATGACTGTTTACTCATAGTTAGCACAATATTACCTTTGCCGTGATACACCCAGAGGGGGGAGGCCTGGCCCCTGGCCCCTGGGCACACCTGTCCCAGAAGCTGACACATGGATTTGGCACCGAGCAGGCCTCCCCCCGGGGGCCCTGCCTCCGTGTACATTGGCCCAATTGCCACCCATTTATAACAGGTTGGCTGCAAGGCCTATCTCGGTCCTATTTGTCTTCTTTTATTGAAAGCATATGGTCTCCAGGGGCTCACCAGCCCCATATTTCATCTGCCGGGAGCTGGGGCGCTCCCGCAGGCTGGTGCTGCCCAGCGCGCTGCGCCCCACTCAACGGCTGCCGGGCCAGCCGAGGGGATGGCCGAGATGGGGTGGGGAGAGATAAGGCGGGCTCCTCAGGCGCCTTGGGAGAGAAGCCATTCCCTCAGAGACTCCTCCTCCCCGGGCGCAGAGACCTCGTGCGCTCTTGAATGGGTGGCTGGTTCCTTTTCTTGGGTAGGTGAGAGGGCGCCATATGCCGTCCCCCGGGGCGTAGGAGGGAGCTCCAGCCCCGGGAGCCCTCAAACAAAGGGAAGAGAGGGCCCGGGACCTCAGGAGCGCCCGAGGTCTTTATTTCCAGATCCCCCTCCCTGCCCAGGGCCGCCTCCCCCCGGATGTCGGTAGCTCGCGCGCAGCGCCTGGAAACAAAGTGTCCACATTATCCCAGCCGCCAACGGATACAGTGAATGCGTGAAAAGGTGCATTGCGCACCAAGACACCTGTTGAAGCGGCGCCTCTTCTCAGCGCCTCTCTCTGTTCTGCCCTCGGTCAGCAGGGAGTGGGGGGTGGGAGGAGGGAGAGATACTGTGATTTGTGGCGACATATGTTGAGCAGATTGGTGTGTACTCTTCACAGGGACACACGCACCCTCGCTCCCATACACACCCCGCGAGAAGGAGCAGCTGCTCCCCTCAACTTCTCCCGACATAATACCTGGGCCAGGCACTTTGGCGTCGCCTTTTGAGACTGCAGCTCTCCCCCCACCCTTTCTGCCTTCCGCCCCCACCTGCCGCCCCAATCTTGGCAGCTTCGCAGTAGGACGTTATTGTCAAATTTAACAGATGCACGTTTGTTCCCAGCGCCCGGTCTCAAACACACACACGCACACACGCAGGC